GGCCTCTGCGGCTCCCTGGGCGTGGGGTCTGGGCGCTCCTGCGGCCTTGGGGTGCCTTGCCGGCCACCTTCCCCCACTGCGCTGGGACATTGACCCTGGACCCTGGTGATGGTTCTCATAAACACACTGGGAGGGTTCAAATACACGCATGCGTGTTCGATACTTCAGCTCTGTGACACATCGCAAAGAACCGATGGGATCACTCAAAAGGGGCTCCGTTGCCTCTCAAACCTACCACACTGCTCTGGCAACTCTTCTCCACAATCGGGCTTTCCTCCACCACCAGGACTCTCACATTTCTGGTGTTCAGTATAGACTTCTCTTTTGTTTTTTTTGTTGTGTTTTTTTTTTCTTTTCTTTTCTTTATTATACATTTATTTGTTTATTTTTGGTAATCTGTATGGAGCACAACAACCTCAAGGCCACAATACATCAGCTACACTGCCTGTTTCTCCTCTGTTTTTTTTTTCTTTTCTTTTTTTTTTCTTCTCCTTCTTCTCCGCATGCACTGTCGCTATATAACTCAGGACTTAAGCACCTGTCCCTCAATCCCCCCTGCTTGTCCCTTACTTTCCCCTTGACACACTATGGTGTATCACGGCCCTCTCTGGCTCATACTAGGAAGTTTTTCCAATAAAGGCTGATAGGCTAGTCTCCAGGGAGGGTGGGTGACGGTCACAATTACGCTCAGTATGGGTATAAAATGCTTGACTGCAAGACTAACAGTGCATCAATCTTCATAAAAAGCTTACACCCTTTTGTGGCGCTAAGCTACAAAGACTAATGCAGACAGGTATAAAAAAAAAATAAATAAATAAAATTGGTTCAGTATTGAGGGAGGCAGATGCAGCCGGCAGACGCAAGGTAGATATGAGAGCAAATGTGTCCCGTATAAGTTTGCGTATTAAAAGTGCTTTTTTTTGCCACTGACGGGTTCAGATCACCAGTGCTATCTCTGTAGATAGCATACTAAGCATTTCCCCTACCCTTCACTTCCTCTGGGCTGTGTGTGACATCATCTCGCGAGAGCTTTGCTTGTTGCCGGAAGAAAACAGAGGAGCCATGCTGTGCGCCGCTCAGAGTGGCGCTGGTTGTCCCGGAGTACAGTTGAGAGTTTTACTGCATCGATTGAAAACAATGATTTGTGTTTGTGCTTATTCGAATTGCAAGAACAGGATGTCGCGCAACACCCCGTACAGCTTTCATAGGCTGCCTTTGTCGGACGGCGAGATGTTGAAGTTGTGGCTAGTTGTGCTACAAATGGATGCTAACACTCCTGTCCAGACACTGCGCCTTGCAGACCATCGGGTCTGCAGTGCTCACTTCTCCCAAGATGACTTCTGCCAGCCTAAGAAGAGAAGACATCCAATCCCGAAACACCTCTTCCTCAAGAAAACAGCTGTCCCACGAGTAGAGAGAGCTACAGACACAGTGGAGGTAATGTTATATAAACAATGTTCGAAACGCTTAGTATGCTATTTACAGGGATAGCACTGGTGATCCCGTTTTGCGAATCAACATTTTTTCGAATCAGTCAAAACCCGGCTACAGCAAGCATATTTTAGTTTGTGCGAATCAGGGGATTTTAATTTGAATTTTGGCGTTTCCATCATAATTTTCCGATGCGATACTTCTAGATGCGCATCTAAACAGGTTGATGGAAACATGGCTACTGATGACTGATGAGTTTTAGAATAAGGTTACCGTGCTAACATTAGATAGTAGCATTAATGTTATTAGTAAGTGGAAACGCACAAGGAAGATAACGTTAATGTTTCAGAGGCTACGCTATAGTAGGCTAACGTTAGCCATTAGCTACTGGATGCTGTGTTGTCATATATAACATTATGAACTGAACTGAACTTCTTAATTTGTCATTTTTATGTGCAGCACAAAAACAAAATTACATTTTGCATAACCCAAGCAAAAAGAAACAAAACATTTAAAAACAATTTGTGCAACATATAAGAAAGAACATATAGTGCAATAGTCAGATGAAAAGGGTCGACATTTCAGTCAAAAACTCCACATCCTGAGAGCAGAACTGGGAGATCCTCTTCACATCACAGCATCATGAATTGTTTGTGTATACACCAGGAGCTTACCAGACGATGCAGCCTCTCTGTCTGCTCTATGTAGTGGTAGCCCCGTTAGCTCAACACCAGAGTCTGATATGTTACCATTCATCCATGTCTCAGTGAACACAAGGACGCAGCAGTCCCTCACAGTGTTGCCAACTTAGCGACTTTGTCGCTATATTTAGCGACTTTTCAGACCCCTCTAGCGACTCTTTTTCAAAAAAGCGACTAGTGACAAATCTAGCGACTTTTTCTGATGTTATTGAAGACTTCTGGAGACTCTGTTGTGAGACCACGTATCATTCTCAGTCTTCTCAACGGGCAGCGAATGCTGCCGTGAGCTCCTCTCTCGCCCCAAAGCACTCACAGACGGCCCAGTCCTCCCTCCCAGCAGCAGTCAGAGCAGGAGACGTTAACCCCTCCACGTCCAGACTGCAAGTGAATCGCACATGCGCGGAACCGCCACTGTTTATATCCACAAGCATCCCTGTTACTAGTTTATATCCACAAGCGTCCGTTACTAGTTTATATCCACGAGCGTGCCTATTACTAGTTTATATCCACAAGCGTCCCTGTTACTAGCCTGTTTGTTGTCTCACAGACTCGGGAGTGGGGGAGGGGGTGGAGGTGGGGGATGATACGTGAGCGGTTACGTCAGTCAGAGGCCTCCACGTGGGGAAGACAGACAAGACAGGAGAAAACTCTGACCAATCATTGCATTCAGTCCGAATGCAATGATTGGTCAGAGTTTTCTTAGAACCATATGAGAATGGTATAATTATGAGTTTTTATTTCTGGTGGAATTCACTTACATTTTAGTGTGCCATCAGCTTATTAATAGTATTTTAACCTAAAAAAAGAAAAGTGTAAAATTTCCAGAAAGGTAAGTGTTGCTTTAAAACAAACAAAATATCAACGTCATCTAGTGTCAGTATTTTACGTCAGACTGACATTGTCATTAGATGTCCTGACATTGAATTATGGTCATCTGATGCCACAAACTAAATTCTGCCAAATATCAACAACTAACAACGTTGGTGGCCAGCTGGGTCAAGTCTGTGAATGCTGACCATTATAAAGAAATGTGAACAAGACTACCAAGCTGACTCCAGACATCAATATGATGTCAGAAAGACAGTGGACTCTTACATTGGACAAGACGCTAAATTTTGGTTGGAATGAAGAACGTGTGAACGACATTTTAAATGTCTAATGACATTTGAATTTCACGTTGTGTGGACGTTAATAATATGACATTATGCATTTTTTGGGTTTTGTTCTACGCATCTTATGATCAAATGTCATTATTCTATGTCAAGATGACATTGACATGAGGTGTTTGGAGGATATTGGATTTTACAACACAACTTAAAATAAAAATAAAATGACAACAGATGATGCTGCAGTTTTTACTTTTATTTATCCTTTGAGATTGACATCTCTTTTACAAGGGAGCCCTGGCCAAGAAGGCAGCAAACCAAAGTTACAACAATACAACAACATAAAACATAAACACAACAGTACATAGATAGTACATACAGTACACATCAAATTCAAAGAAAGCAGCTACAGACTTCTGTTTTTACAGACTGTAACAAACATTTAAAAGGAAGGAAACAAGGTCAGCCAATTTTAGCGTTTTCTGGAGCTGATTCCAGGACCAAGGGGCATAGTAACTAAAAGCGGTCTTCCCAAATTCAGTGACGACGCAAGGGACCGAGAACAACAAAAAGTCCTGAGAGCGCAGGCTAGTAGTAGTAGAGCGATCGAAGAGGTGGTTCAAATAGCCAGGGAGTAGCCCTAAGATGGCTTTGTAGATAAAAATATGCCAGTGGAGCCATCTGCGATAGTTTAGTGATATCAGACCAGACCCTTCATATAAGAAGCAATGATGGGTGAGAGATTTGGCATTTAAAATGAAACGCAAGGCACCATGATAGACTGTGTCTATAGCCTTAAGGGATGCAGCAGAGGCATGCATATAAAGAACATCACCATGATCAATCATGGGAAGAAAGGTAGCCATGACAAGTCTCTTTTTTGCAGTGAGATTAAAACAATGCTTGTTTCTAAAGCAAAATCCTAGTTTAATCTGGGGTTTTTGGCAAGATTATCCAAATGAATAGAAAAAGTAAGTTTAGAATCAAGCCAGACTCCAAGATGTTTATAGAAAGCCACCTGTTCTATGCACTTTCCATCAGTGGTGAAAATGTGAGGAACAGGAGGCTGGGAGTGGGATCTAGAGAAATGCATGACTTTTGTTTTACTAGCATTTAAAACCAGTTTAAGATTTTTAAAATCAGCCTGAATCGAGCGAAACAATTTTTGGAGGTGCTGAAAAGCGCAAGACAGAGAGGAGGCACAAGAATAAACAATTGTATCATCTGCATACAGATGAAAGTTAGATGAATCAGAATTTCTACATCATTATTCTACATCAAATTGACATTGGCGTTAGTCATCCTGACATTGAATTTTGTTCAGCCAATCCTACAACTTACTTTCAACCAAATATCAACGTCTAGCAACAGGTGGGTCAAGTCTGTGAATGCTGACCAATATAATAACATGAACGTGAACACATTCCCCTTCTGTGTGTGTGTGTGTGTGTGTCAAAGTATTGAAATGGACAACTTAACATGAAGACATGCAGACTTTGTGAATCTAAACAGGCCTTTCCCATGATCAAACAACATCAGAGCCAATGTGACTTCATCCTGCGTCCTTGAGTTGTGGACCATTTTAGGAATGAATGAAAAGCAGGGGAACACATTGTCTTACAGCTTCCTTTGTTATTCAAAGTGTCCCTGCAGCAGAGAGTCCACAGCTCTGGGATTGGACTGGACTGGGTCTGCCCCTGGTTCCTCCTGATAAGGGAGGCAGGGCAGTGCTGCTCTGTCTGCTAACAGCTCAACACTTTGGCTGAGCACAATACAGCATCAAGCCACCCACTGTGGGAGACACACACACACACACACACACACATGCACGTGTGAGCACGCACACACAGAGAGAGAGAGAGAGAGAGAGAGAGTGCGAGTGAGGGAGAGAGAGAGACCCTAAGCTACAGATCCACAGCCAAGGAAACCGCAGATCCCCCAAATCTCCAACTCTGCGCACAGAGAAGAGAAAGAAGCAGCAGAGACTAACAAAAGCATTCTTGGCTTTGAGTTTAAGAGAAGAAGGAAAAAAGTGAACAATACGTTGGGCGAGATCATTTACGTGAGATACAAAGTGAAGGAGAAAAGCGTGACAGGACAGCGTCAGTCAGCGGGTTTATCATCCCTCTCCAAATACTGAGGAACGGATTGTCGCGCTGCCCTGCATGAAGGACAATTCCGTCTTGGGGAAGAAGCGTGCAGAAACAGAATGAGAGCCATCATGAGGATCACGTGTCTGCTGCTTTTATTCAGTGAGTACCCTACAATTACATGTAAACTCCATATACACTTGTAATGGTTCCGCAGCGTTAACGTGCTGGAACGTGACGTTTTCTCTGTGATATCCGATCTGTCTCCGGAATAAATGACAGGGTGTCTGGGATTGTTTTGGGGAGTGAAAGCAGTATTAGTGTGTTTGTGCAGCAGCTGCAGGACATCACTCCTTCTTTCTTTAAAGACAGAAAAGTGTGTAACAGACAATGTCGGCAGCGTGATGCAGCAACAGGTGCGCACAATATACTCTTAGAATAATCTGACCTCTCGTTTGATCATTTGTAGTCAGCGGTGGATGATGTTTCCAGATGTTGTATCTTATCAAGAGTAGCCACATTTTAACCTAAAAATACTCCATTACGAGTAAAAGTTCTGATTTTTAAATTTCACTTAATTGAAAATACAGAGATACAGCATAATGCGGCTACTTAACTATCAATAATAAAAGTCGATGTCAGGTAGTGGTGGAGGAAGTATCCTTCACTTAAAGTACAAATACAACAATGTAGAACATTCTCTAATACATGTAAAAGTCCTACACTCTAGAAACGAATCAATTGGTTCAACTTAAAAAAAAAAAGAATGAAGGTAACAATTTGCATGCATCCTTTTAAGTAGTTCCAACTCTGGCATTATTGGCATTGGCATTATCATTTTTAGAGTGTACTGAGTCCTACTGAGTCAGGGGTGTCAAGCTTATTTTAGTTCATGGGCCACATACAGCCCAAATCGATCTCAAGTGGGCCAGACCAAGACCAATAACAAAACCTCTTAACTACCCCCTTTATTTTAGTGTGAAGACCAACATTCTAAAAAAAAAAAGTCCATCCATTTACAAACACATGACGAACGGCCTGAAATGTCTCAAAATATATGAGTGCAAATTGCACAATATGTCTGTTTTTCAGCAATCATATCTTCACAAACTCAGTTTTACAAGTTTGTTGTGTGGATGTACCCAGAAAACTGCCTGGGATTAAATAAATACTGTACATCTAGTATGTGGAAAAACTCCAGTGTTGTGTTTTGAACTCATTCAGATTAACTTTAAAATTAGATATATTCATTATTATTGATTATTGATTATTATTTATTGATAGGATATCTATAAGCCAATCACAGCATTCCACATCATCTTAAGTGGATTGCATTAGAGCCACGCCCACTTTTTTAATAAGCATGGCCAACCGAGGCAAGGAGGAAAGACGAGGTACATTTCTCTCTATTAATCATATTGTTGAAGTTCATAATTTTTGTTTAAACTGTGTTTAAAGTAACCATGAGATGTTATATCACTTATGTTACCATATTTGTCAAAAAATCATTTGAAAGATTTTTAGCTTTTTCAGAAGTATCCATGCATTGGAATGGATGGTGGATCTGAGCATCATGAATAGGAAAATATAGTTTAAATAGAGAAATACTGTTCTGGTTTTATTTTCTAATGACACAATTAGCTTATAATGCATTTTATTAACAGTGTCCACAGAATAATTCAGAAATTAAGGATATTTTGATTTGTGACGATGAATACAAATTATATATGCAGTGTGTTTAAAAGTATCATTTTATTCACTGATATGAGCTAACTATTCATGAAAAATAACAAACTTGTGTTTTGGTTGAAAAAAGGTCTGTTAGGACTATTAATTGTTATTTTTACTATTGGGCGGTTTCTGCGTTAAGATTGTCAGTCCATTGGAATGGACAGAAAATATAATATAAATACGTATCCAAATCAGAAAAACGACTTTTGTAATGATTTATGAGTATAAATCCACTATTTCAACATTTTTTCCCTTTTTTGTGTTTGGAACATAATTGGGTTTTGAATGGTACTCAAGTAAATGTAACTGCAGTGCAGTTTCCTACCTCTATACTGGCTTGTAATGTAAAGTTATACCATTTTTAATTGCTAGATTCAAACTAATTGAAATCATGGAGATGTTTTTTTTTTGTTTTTGTTTTTTTTTTTTACAGAAAGCATGATTGCATTTCTTATAATGTTGGTCATTTTACTATTTTAATATCTTCACATTTTCCCCGTTAAAGGGTTTTTTTGGGGGGAGTTTTTCCTTATCCGCTGTGAGGGTCCAGAGGGATGTCGTATGCTGTAAAGCCCTGTGAGGCAAATTGTGATTTGTGATACTGGGCTTTATAAATAAAATTGATTGATTGATTGACATACCTGATTTCATTATCTATAGGAATGATCACTTGCTGTACAATGTAGGTTACAGTTTGTATGTATAAAATCTTGTAGGGAATAAGGGCGGGGACTTTTTTTTTTTTACTTAATTTGTGCATAAACTCAGGCTGTAAGAAGCAAAGAGAACACAAACAGCATCAGTTGATGCAACCTGAAGAAGAGTGCTAACCTTGAAACATACAGCAACCAGAGCCTTTTTGTCTTCCTCTGCTCCTTTGTGTCTTAATTTGTGCACAAATTGAGGAGAGTAAGATCCTCTGAATTGGACAACTCCCCCAGTTTTTTTTTCTCTGTGTTACTGTGTTGACCTGTTTGGGAAGTGTACATGCCCGTTGTTACTGTGTGAACCACATGTAATCTGTAGGAAATCAGTAATGGCGCAGTTGGAGTCCCTGCCCTGCCCTGCTGCCTCCCACCACCCCACAGTAAAGGGGTCCCCAATGCCCCCCTCCCTCCAAACACACACACACACACACACGCACGCACAGAGTTGTCCAATAGCCTGTGGCTGTGGAGGAGGCTGAATAATGAAGTGCACCCTGACCTCCCTCCCAGGCTGAGAGGCGAGGAAAGTGTTTTTCTTTAATTATGCACCTGCTGCTTTCTCACCACTACAGTAGGTGGATTCAGATGGGATGCTTTTATTTTTTGAGCATGTGAAGAAAAAGAAAACATGTGACACGGCCCAAAACTCAATCTGAAGGCTGTCAGCACTTTTTCTAAAAATAAAAGTGTGACATGTTTTTGTGCATGTGAATATGCATATGCATATGTGTCTGTATGATTAACAGCCTGTTATCAGGAGTAGGGCTAAAAGCTTAGACATGTGTGGTGTTGTTTGCAGTTTTCATGTGAAATGTACCTTTGTGAATTTATTTCTTTAAAATGAGTTATTGTGATTTCATCTATCATACTTGGTAACTTTTGGAAAGCCAGAACTTCAGATCAGTCTGCAGGTTGCAGTTGTTACTTTGTCATAAGGTGATGGAGGAGAAAACATGGTTGCCATTTAACTGCAGATGTCAGAATACAACATTGGTCCTCTCACAGTGGTCACATAGAACCTAGGAGTTGTTTCTCAATCTCCAAAAGAGCCACTTTTGTTCTTTTACTTTCTTATGCTGAGAAGTAGATGAAAAGGTCCATACTGTCTTACCGTTTAGGCTGTGAGTCAAATTTTGTGTGCATGAAACAAAAACTGATTGTGGTTTGACAGGAGGTTATGTGCAGGACTTTTTCTTCCTTTCCGCAGTTACTTTCTGAAGTTTTGTCATCACAGTGATGTTGCCAGGCAACCAGCTGAGACATCAGGAAGTTACCAGCCAGTCTCTGGTTAGCTAGGCTAACTGACTGCAGCACAGATATGAGACTGGGACTTAAAATGGGCATGTTCTGTGTCTTCACAATGTCCACTGTTTTATTACAAATAAAGTAAACTGGTCTCGTACATTCTGCAGATTGAATGATCATGTATTTTTCTAGCACACATAAACATTGCCGGACCTAGCAAATTTGGTGCCTTAGGCAATCTTCCCCTGGGGTCCCCCCTCCTACTCCCACCCCCCAAAGAGACACACTGTCAAAAAATGTATATATTTTTTTTTTATTGTGTTTCATTTGGTCCCAACACACATATACACACACATACAATTATTAAAAAATCACCAAGTATTTAAAATTATGCTGCTCTGAGATGCTTGAGGTTTGTCCGCTGAAGGAGCTAAAATGAAGATTGAGCAACTGCGAAACGATAGAAATTCTTTAGAAGCTTTCCCAGTAGCACAAAGCACACACTCCACTTGAGCCAAAGAACAAGCTACAAAGCGGTAAAAGATCATTAGTGACAGCTGTTTAGCTTGTGTTTATATAACATATAACATATAACATATAACAGTACGTAATCGCATTGCATTCACTGGATAAAAAAAAAATTAGACACCTTATCTCGTAATTACGAGATCCTGATCTCATAATTAAGAGATCCTGATCTCGTAATTATGAGAAAAGATCTCGTAATTATGAGATCAGGTGTCTATTTTTTTTTTTCTTCCGCCAGATTTCGGTGCGTAACTTGTGCCACAGCCCTGAGTGCACACAGGGTCTTCATAAAACATAGATTCAAGATTCAATATGCACAGTAAGGACATACGTTTCCCTGCAGAATGAAATTCGTTCTTTTCTGTCACCAATTAACGCCAAACAATATAAATCTGAAGTATGAAATAGATCAAAATATATACACTGTTTTAATGTCTCCTTGCTCAGTGTAATATTAATGTGCCTGCTGTGGCTGGATCTGTGAGCGTTTGGTCGCTAAGAAGACTGTTAAGAGTGGGTCAGCTCGATCTTACAACTCCTTCTTGGTGAAAGATCTTCTTAAGCTAAGAGCGATCTGGGAAACGTGGCCATTATCATGTCAACATATGGGAAAATGTGTCCAGAGTTTATGACATTTACCGGGAGAGCTAGAGCCATTTGACTAAAGCTGACGTTATCACTGCTGTAGCATGATGATATTAGGCTAAATACTACATTTCTAACAGTGTCTGAGCTGATTTATTGACACAGTATGCTTGTAGGCTGCTGTAACGTTAGGTTTACAGAGGAAATAACGGGATGTGACTTAATCTTGTGAAAATATCGTTAGTGAAACAGAAACAAGCGTTAGTTAGGGGACAATAGTCAAGAGTCACAAAGACTCACGTAGGCTATGTTAAAAGTTACTTACAACCGGTGTATTTACTGTAGGTTATGTGTCTGGGGTCCTTC